CAGAGGAAATGAACCCACACCTTACAAAAAGATGAAGAGCAGTTGTAATAGGAGAGTCCATAATTGTATGGGATGGAAACTGAAGTATGCTGGGAAGATCCATCGACCCTCCTGGCATGTTGTCTCCCTGGAGTACAAATTAGTGATGTAAGAGACTGACATCGCTCAGAAAACCCACAGATACATATCCCTTTCTTCTCATTGTTTGTGGGAACAAACCATGCAGCCAAGAGCAATTTCAAAGGGATCACATCAGACTTTGAACTCTGGGAAATAAACCTAAGGACTTTACCCTCTGGGGCCCAGAGAGTTTTCTTATCCATCCTACCAGTGCTTGGAAGAGGAATAGAAAGGGAAACAAAAGTGGTGGCTACAAAAGTGGTGGTGACGTGAAGGATTTGATTTTTGGGATCATGGGCTCAATAGCTTTTCCAAAGCAATCATTTCAGGTAATATCTTCCTTTCACTCCTTAATAAAGAAGGAATGTTTAAGATTTCTCATTGGCACTAAATCACCTGTCTCTCTCATTTCAGGATGTTCACCTAAAGTGAGTCTTTCAATAAGAGTTTTAGCGCTTCCATCAGAGGCTTCAGTTTGCCTCCCCTGAGAGTGGGCTACTATTAAAACACTTGGCTAGATATAAACCAACCAGATTAGGAGCTGGGATTTGGTCTGACACTGCTACTTTTCATATTACAAACCACCCATGGTATTTCACTGCTACTTTAGCCATTGGCAGAACCACTGAGTCCAAGCTAATGCCTTTGAAGGTGATGTTCTGTTCCAATATATTCTCTTTAGAAATTATGTCTGAGTGACACATAGTAATCTGAGAACATGTGTCTATTAAACCTAAATACTTTATGTTGTCAATAAAAATTGTCTCTCCCGACTATTGTGGCCAGGTATATATTGGAACCACAAAACATTGCATCCACACCCGAATCAAAGAACATGAGAGACACTGCAGACTAAAACAACCGGAAAAATCGGCAGTAGTTGAATATGCCCTAAAACAAGCTGGACATGAAATTCTATTTCAAAATACTGAAGTACTGGACAAAACCAGCAATCATTATGTTAGACTGCACAGGGAAGCCATTGAAATGCACAAACACTAGCAGAGCTTCAACAAAAAAAAAAGAAAGTCTAAAACTCAACAAAGCCTGGCTCCCAGCACTGAAAAATACAGCTTGCAAAAGATCAATGAACCCACCCACAAGAACCAGTGATCACTGCACACAAAAGACCAGCTAACGGCACCCATCAATCACAGTGACAGATCACCTCTGCCCCTTATCACAACAATACACACACAAGAAAAACATGCCTATCATCCTAATCACTCAATCTCCTGAAAAGGGCAAAAGCTGATCCCACAGCTATAAATGCTCAACTATCCAACAAACTGCAGCAGAGCACAGACAGAGTTCTGATTCCTGTCCTCTGAAGATGCTGGCCACAGAGACTAGCGAAACGTTAGGAAGAAAAACCTTAAGAACATGCCCAAACAGCCCGGAAACCCACAACAACCAGTCTCTCCAGAGTTATCTAATAAATCCTGATTGCACTTGATTAGGAAATATTGTACCACTCTGGCTTCAGGAATTTCTGGGCTCTCTGGCAAGTCTGTTTCCTTAGCAACAGTGCTGCTGCTAGCTTCAGTAGCCAACGACTGAAGAAGAAATACTTTTATAGTCTGACTGAAATTCTCATCCTTTTGATTGTCACCCTGAGCCAAAAAATGTCTCATTTCTCCACAGGAAAAAAAATTTCTTATTGACTCAAGGTTTAGAATAAAGGATTCTTTAAACTTTTCCCTCAGGATTATTTGATTTCAGGGGACTGTGCTCTGGGGATGAGGGTTTCACTTTAAAATGGCTTCCCTTTGTGCTTGACTGAAATAATTTCCACTGGATTGGGATGTTCTCCTGCTGTTGTCTGTCATGAGTGCAGCCGAAGATCTGGAACCTGAAGGGTTAACTGTAGTTGAGGAGAATGCTGAGCAATCAGAAATACAAACACCCATATCTCCTCCAGATTCTCCTCCCCCAGTAGACAGGCTGAGGGCCAGGCTTCAGGGAAGACTTATGACAAAAAGGTCAGAGGATCGCTTGAAGCCTGCCCACAGAAACATCCGATCAACTAGCCCTGAGTTCTGACAGGATGAAAAGGCTTCCAGCAGTCCAAGGGCTGTTTTTTCTATATAAACAGCTCTCAGATGGCTGAAAATTAGTGGAAGCAACAAATCAAACTTCTGGCTTGCATCCACGCTCCTGAGAACCTTGAACCTTGTTCCCCGAACCCTTGGCTTTGGACTCTGACCCTGGACTACGTTGTGTGAGTTGGCTTTGGTGTTTGGATATTGGCTCTGCATTCCCTGAATTCCTGACATAGGACTGGCTTATTGGACTCTACTGTTGTAACCCCCGGGAACGTGACATTGTCCCATCATTTTCTGTCAATTTTTATCTCAGAGAATCAAGGATTTCTGATCTCACTAATAGAATCAGCATATTTAGACGCCTGTAACACATTTTTAGGATCCTTTGTCCTTGACCAGATAACACAATTCCCCTGGCAAAATTGAATAAAATTGTTCTACCCCAAACACATTTTTTCATATGGTCTAAGGCAGAGATACGTTCCTGTTCCAGCCATTTACTGAGATACTGTGTCAAATGTGCCCCAAGTTGGGTAAAAGACTCCTCAGGTTTCTTTGAAATCAATCTAAATTTTCTTCTGAGATGTTCTGAATTAATCCCAAATCGGGAACACACCATCTTTCTATAAGCCTCAAAATCTCTAGCTTGCTTCAGAGGCATCTGTGAATAAAGCTCAGATAAAACCACTTATTAGTGATCTTAAAATTACCTTCCTCTAATCATCTTTAACATCAAAGTCCTAACAAGCTCTCTCAAATGAAATCAGAAAAGATTCAGGACAATCCCCCTTCCTATATTGGGGAAATTTCTTTAGGTCAATTTTTCAGAGATTTCGCTCAATGGAATTTTACTATTATTAATGCCTGTTTTCTTGCTTAAATTCCCTTCTCCTGTTTTCTTGCTCAAATTCCCTTTCTCTTTCTTTAATTTCTAGTTCCTTTTCCCTTTCAGGGTCTCTGTTCTTTTCTTTTTCCAATCCTAATTGGCTTTTCCTAGCTAGCTCCTCTAATTGGCTTTCAATAGCTAGCTCCTTCAGTTTAAATTCTTGTTCTAGTTTCCATTTTTCAAAGTCTTGGGAGCTTTGAATATTTTCTCCCTCTGAGGCAATCAATACAGGTCCCTCCGTTTCTTCATCCCTTTGAATTTGAGGTTTCCCATTTTCCTCAGCATTCTGAGGCTCAACAACAATTTCTTATTAACCTGAACTGGTTCTTTTCCCTCATAAAAGCCAAAAGTATAAGCCTTTTTCTCTCTTTCCATGGCTTTCCTTGTAACCAGGTTGTACTTTTCCAAGCAGCTCTTCTCAGCTACTGCCAAGCTAGCAACCATTGCTACAATATTTTCCTGTCTGGGCATTTCTTGTCTCCAGACACAAGAACAACTTCTAATTAGCTTTTATTATCCCCTCAGATCTATTTTGACTTAGGCTTCCACTCTATCAGCCACTGCCCTTTACCCTCAGAGCTCCGGATTTTGAGCTAGCCACTAAGTCTTTTAAATCCTGAGGTTTTAAAAATTGGTTTCTTTTGCATAGGTATTTTCCTTCTCTTACAATTCCCCAGATCTGGGTACAGAAGTCATGAAACTAAGTCTTCATCAAGACTGTAAAGGGTAACTACTTCTTACCACAGATCCTTACCCCTTCTAGCTAGGAATACCTTTAAACTCAAGCCCATTCAACTTTTCACTGGATTGCTTCGTATCCTAGTGCTGTGCCACCAATTTGTCACAATCCCCACGTGACCCCTGCTTGTTTCACCGAACCAGGAGCTCATGCTACGTGCCCCTCAGCTGCCACCAGTTGATTTCATCAACAATACCTATTATTAATAATTGAGGTCCAGGCCATATGTCATTAAAAAAACTAATAGAAATTATTTATTGTTACAGATCTTGATAGAATAAGCAACATTGTTAACTCTTAAACAAACATTCTCCTTTATCTATCTCAATCACCACTCTCCTGTCCAAACTCCAAAACTTTCTCAATTCTCAGTCTCTTCAACTCTATTTAAACTCCCCCTCCTCATGCTGAGTCTTTTACCTCTTGACTCCGCCCCTCCAGCACTCCCATTGGTCTAAAAAAAAAACAAATAGAAATTATTTATTGTTACAGATCTTGATAGAATAAGCAACATTGTTAACTCTTAAACAAACATTCTCCTTTATCTATCTCAATCACCACTCTCCTGTCCAAACTCCAAAACTTTCTCAATTCTCAGTCTCTTCAACTCTCTCTATCTAAACTCTCCCTCCTCATGCTGAGTCTTTTATCTCTTGACTCCACCCCTCCAGCACTCCATTTAAACTCCCCCTCCTCATGCTGAGTCTTTTACCTCTTGACTCCGCCCCTCCAGCACTCCCATTGGTCTATGCAGATATCCTATGAATAATTTATGACCTGGGCGGACACCACAGTGCCCTTTGCTTTTTAATGTCTCAATATGAAATGGATGCTCGTTTGGGCGGTTGAGAATATATAGAGTCCAGTGAGGTTAATCTGAGCATTTCAACGGCTCAGTGATTGGTGTTTCAGTGATGACTTTGGCCTTCACTGGGGCTTCAGCTGTTATTCTTCTGTTTTGGCACTTCTTTCTTTTACTACAGCAAGTGGTGCCAAGTATCTGCCCTCCCCAAATTTTAGCATTCATTGCCTCTAAACAGTGGCACAATCTCAAGGTTTACTGGGGGATTTCTGAACTACCCTGTAGCTGATCTGAAAATTCACAAATATTCATAGTCTGCCTTATCTGGACACTTTTCTTTGAAGCCATCCCTAATGAGACAGATTATTGATGTGCTTGAACAGTGAGTGACTCTTTGCTCTGCCCTAGGTGTGTTGTGTTATACTGTATGCTGTCAAGTCAGAACCAGCTTACAAAGATGCTAGTAAGGTGTTCAAGGTAAGTAAGATGTTTAAGGAATGCTTTTATCTGTTCCCACTCTCTTCCCCCCGCCCTGCCCCATAAGTTTCTATGGCCAAGCAGGGATTCAGACTCAGACCTCTTGAGTCCCAGTCTGTCACTGTTACACTGTACTGAATATACCCTTGACCCTGTATTCACTCACAAAGACCGCTGGTTTGGTCCATCTTTTTACATATTATTTATTTATTTAAAACATTTATAGCCTGCTCTAATATCACAGGATTTCAGGACAGGTTGCAGAGCTGTATCAGGCAGTGCACATGCCCTCACAAAGACCACTGGTTTGGTCCATCTTTTTACATATTATTTATTTATTTAAAACATTTATAGCCTGCTCTAATATCACAGGATTTCAGGACAGGTTGCAGAGCTGTATCAGGCAGTGCACATGCCTAATTCACACATTTTTTTAACATGTCATATTCTTGCTACACTGGATTAGCAACAGCTGTTAAATATTTCCTGCAGAGTGCCTATAACATTTTTTGGACACTTTTACACGCTAGGCTATAACAAGTGTGAAAGAGGATAGCCCTTTTTTTAGTTCAGGAAAATTTAGTAAGTATATTTGTGAATGTGTTCTCAGTGTTATAATCATATGTAGACTTGATCTGTAGAAACTATAAGCAACACAGAGGTCTTTTCCATATTAAAAGTCTTACCTACTTAATCATGGAAACCAGAAGAGAGCAAATTATTGGAATGGATTAAAATTTGTGGAGGAAGTGTATTATATGGCATAAGTTTTTTTGGACTGAAACTTACTTGTATTCCTAACTATTGTTCATATGATAGTTTTGTCATGTGGCCCATTGAATTGTGAAACCATTTCAGTAATTAACCCTTGTGTCTATTCACACCCTGACTGACTACTGGGCTACTTTCAGATCAATTCATTATTTTGAACTCTAGTGCTTTACATTTTCCAGCTAAATGGAAAATCTATCTTCCATAAAAGTTAGGAACGGTGTCCAATAAAAAAGGTGACATTTTAATGCCTTTCTACAGATTAAAATGCTAGAACTCTCAATAAACCCTGATTTACTGGCATTGGTCATAAAATGGTTATTGCTGCTAATAAAGTCTGTAAATCCTAACAAGTCATATTTGCTTTGAACAATAAAACTTCCCATAAAGGCTTAGTGTATAAGGATATTCTCTTCCTATCAAGGTAGACAGTCTGCTTAAAGTAATAATGTAAAATCTTTTGTAACCTAGTCTACATTTCAATAAATGATAGTGTGCTCCACAAAGCAGTAGAAGAGTGAATGGCACATCCCTTTATTCTGACGAGTGTGGAAATATATGTGAACAAGGGTTAATTTGCTTTAAAATGACAGAACAGACGAGGTTCTTTCAAGGGGACGAGGTCACTCTGGGACAGCCCACCATATTCTATTCTGCTTCCCAATCTCTTTTCCATCCAAAAGTAAATAATAAAATATGAATTGTTTGTGAGGCAAAATTTAAACTGATTGGAATGGAAGATTTATTTCTGATTTTAGTCTGTGCATCACTTATTATTATAGTGCTGTTTTTTTCTTTTTAACAATGTCTGAAATCCTGTTGTACTTGGCATAACATAAAGTTATACCTGCAAAAGTTTGCACGGTGTTACACACAGGCAGTCTCTGTACCACAATGTGTGCAAATGATTGTGCAATTCAAGGGGTGACTAATTGGGAAACCTATGTGGAACTGCTTTGAGAATGTGACTTCTGTGATCATTGCCACCACTTATGCAACTTTGACATAATTGTAACTGCAACAGGAATCTTTAACACAGTATTGCACATTTTTCATTAATTAAGAAATGAAATGCTGGATCATTTTTGAGCAGGAGTCTCCAAACTTTCCAGTATGAGGGCCACATCATATGTTTTACACATTTTCAAGGGCTGAAGGGGGGGGGGAAACACAGTTTTATAATGAATAAGTTTTATTTGAACCAACAAACTTGTACTTGTATATACAATATTAATGGGATTGATGGAACTGCTTGTTTACTTTCAAAATATTGCCGAATTGAGGTTTCAGATGCTTATTTAAAAATACTGTAAAACTGCAACACATTACAGAAAATCAGCAACATCGAATCCTATTTGTTTTGAAGTGGGGTTTTCCCATCCTTCTTATTTAATTCAGCTGTTCCTGCCTCAGAATTCTTCCTTTTGCTTAGTATAAATTAGTTCTAAGGTACATGCATTCATTTTTAAAACACTAGAACACCAAAATGCAGGACAGAGCAAAGCCCAACCCATTTTTTAAAATCTTTTTTGTTTGTCTTCTTAACATGCCAATAACCTTTATCAATTTTCTGTTTTCTTTTATCAACTCCCATGTACATTTTACTGTCCAGGAATGTCATTTCATGTAAAAAAAAGAATTACTTGAACAGTGCAGTACCAAAGCACTAGATCAAAATGCTGGAAGATAAATACTGGTGAATACACACACTGAAATAAGTAAGAAAAATGTAAAGGATTGAGAAAGCTGGGTGTGACAACAAGGTGCTCTTGTGCCATTTTCATAACAAACACGTTGCATTCACTCTTCATCAAACTACAGCAGGTAGAGAAAGAAATTAAACCCCTTTCTTTACGAAGCCAACATTCTCTGCACTCTGGGCCTCCCTTTCCAAATATGCATTATCTGTGAAGTTCAGTAAATTGGGTTTAAAATCTAGGAAACAGCAGCACACTTTCAGGGAAGTGTTCACATCCTCTTTGCATTGGCTGGAAAACACTCAGTGGGCTAGGATGATTTACTTTACTTCTTTTGTATTTTAAACATTAAGAGGGGAGGCCATCCTTGCCCATATATGTATGTATGCGCGCACACACACACACACACATCTGTGGTGGTGACTAGACATGGGGATGAATAAAAATGAATCACAATATTCTTCAGAAAAATGCTGATTCATTAAATATTCATCCCTTCATATTTGTGAGTTTCGGAGACCCTGACAAATACGAAAGGATGAATATTTCTCCTTTTTTCTTCGTTCCCCATTCTTTTCCTATGGCCTTCTCACTCTGCCTATGGGCCCATTGACAAGCTGATTGGTAGGCCAATAGGCAGCCAGGCGGCCCCAGCCACCCACCCCCACAGCCTGTTGCTCACCCCTTTCCCCTTCCTACCTTAGCCGCTGCCAGCATCCACCACCTCCCAGCACCTCCATCACCCATTGCTGCCCTCTGCTGCCGCCATCCATCACCGCCTACTGCTGTGGCCTCCACAGTCATGGCCTGCTGTAACGGACACTGGCTGTCCTTTGCAGGCTGCCCAGAGGGAACCTAATCTCAAGATCCTCTGTACATTTTTCCAAGGAGCCCCAGTGCTGGAACCGCTGTGAATTGTTGAGGCCCTGGGGACTCTCAAGAGCCTCCTCCAGCACCGCAATTCAAAAGCATGAATTCTTCGGCTGTCAGCCTTCTTTATGGTCCAGCTCTCACTTCTGTACATTGCTTCTGGATGAACCATAGCTTTGACTATGTTGACTTTTGTCGGCAAGTTGATGTCTCTGCTTTTTTAAATGCAGTCTAGGTTTGTAATCACTTTCCTCCCAAGAAGTAGGCATCTTTTAATTCCGTGGCTGCTGTCACCATCTGCAGTGATCATGGAGCCCAAGAAAGTAAAATCTGTCACTGCCTCCATATCTTCTCCTTCTGTTTGCCAGGAGGTGATGGGGCTAGTGGCCATGATCTTAGGTTTTTTTTAATGCTGAGTTTCAGACCATTTTTTTTGCACTCTCCTCTTTCACCCTCATTAAGAAGTTCTTTAATTCCTCCTCACTTTCTGCCATCAGACTGGTATCACCTGTACTAAATTAGGACCATTAAATCAATGGAAATTTAGTGAGTCAACTCTTCCATAAGTTCCATTCATTTCAATGGGCCTATGTAGCTGTAGCTTGCTTTACTAAAGTAAATTTCAGTTGAAATAGGCCCATTTAAATCAATGATACTTTTGCATGTGTGGACTCATCAAATCCATACCAGACGTCAACACTATCCACAGCAGACCAAATTATGTGACCTCGAAACAAAATAAAAGTCCAAGAAGCCCTTATCTCAACAATTAAAAAAGAATAGATAGAGATAAAAAAGTAAAATGCTGTGAGGTTTAAAACGAAAATAAACAAGGTAAAGGGGAAAGAGACAAAATGGCTGTCACTGGCTGGCAGCCATCTTTTCCTCCTCCTGTTCATCACTGTTTTCCCACATTCACTGTAAGATTGGAAAACCAGCTGCCTTCCTTTCCCTGCTTAAGTGCCTACAAAAACACAGGGCATTCTCCCTAGCCAGATGCAGTGTCATGCCTGGAGCCTTACTATATGGTAAGTTCAAAGGAATCCTGTACCTTGAAAGACATTGCTCATGCAAGCAGGGTGCATCAGTGGTGTTTTGACATAGCTTTCAATCATTACTGATACATATTAACAATTAAAAAGAAATGCAAAACCTTCTTTATTTCAAAGGCAAGAAGAAAGGAATATTTCTATTATGGCTACACAGTCATAATAAAACAAAATGCCTCTACAAGCCAAATTAAAAAATAGCATAAGCCCCTAAAAATTATATCTATGGAACTGGACCTCAGATCAGTACCAAATTGGATGTAGCAGCAATTCTGCTTTTGCTCTGTGACAAATTTGGGGACGTTTGGGCAAAGGGTTTTTGAGTTGTGATTTTTTAAAAAGTAACATTGTTTTACCCCTGTGCACAAGCAAGTGAATTTTAGCTGCAGCTAATTGAAATGAGATGAAAGATGTAGATAAGACATAATTTGCATACTTGGGGGAGAAACCTAAGATTTAACCTCTCTTTTTTTGGTCCACAGGAATTGGGCCATTCATGACTCTAATTCAGAATTTTTAATTAGTTCTTATAATGCCAGAGATATTCTGAAATCAATTATTTAAAAAACTTCTGAGATTTCCAAAGGTACTATTTACATTCTGTGCAATCAGA